CATCCCAGGGAGATGTTGATAATCATAAATTTGTTCAGCTCACATAAACAAACAACTAACTTTGATAAAACTGAAGTGCTGTAAAAGTTAACTTTCAGATTTCAACTCCCTGTTCGTTGAACACAATGATGATTTATGGGAAAGAAAGGTTTTCGTTTTAGTAAAAAAATTAACAAAGAAGTATATTTCAGACAGAACCTTTCTTCCTCAAAAATTATTATCTTCTGAAAATACACCTCTATTAATTTGAACAATAATGATGTCATAGAAATTCAAAGAGTCTCTGAAGTTGAATACATAGCTGTAATGACCACCACCATGACTAACCAACACCTTAAATGTGACAAACATTTGAAAAACACTGACAATACTCTCAGGAGCATGCTTTTCGGATTCAGATATTTTTCGCATATACTAGAAACGCGTTATCTGAGGATCATGCACTTCTGAGGAATGACTTCAGATGTGCACCTAAAGAAACTGAACACCTTATAAAAATATTTTTTGAAAATAATTCACAAAAAAAAATAAGGTATCCAACAGAAAACTTGTACTTTGAGAAATAATTCATATGAATTTGATATCTCGCACCTATCATACGAGACACAAAACTCAATTTTATTCAAAACTGAATGCAACAAAAAAATTATTAGACAGAGAAATCGAATCTATATATTTTCTGATTGATTCGGCCGTTACTAATTGATGAATATCCATAGTAATTTCATAAACTACACCTGACGATTTGATCTCCACAAACTTTATTTGAAAAATATATATCACAACATGTTTTGCTAACACATCAATTCAAATCACTTGATGAAGCTACTGTTTTAGCGGAACATGTGATATATATTTTTCAAATAAAGTTCGTGGAGATCAAATCGTGAGGTTTAGTTTATGAAACTAATCTGTAAATGCGAAAAACTTTTTAATAAAGTCCCAGAAAATCTGAAAAAGAGGATGATCATTACCAACTTAGTCAGTCTTATGAAAATGAAATTTTTCATCCTTACCATAGACAAAAAAATATTTAGAGTTTTACGAATGTGAAATTCTGATCATCATCGATCATCATTTTGATACCCTCTTTGATGTTCTTTAATTTATGTTTTTAATGTAAAATTCTGATCATCATCGATCATCATTTTGATACCCTCTTTGATGTTCTTTAATTTATGTTTTTCATACTCACCTCATATTGTTAGTACTCACATTTTTTTCCGGTACTCTACCTTGTGTTACTAACTTTTGTTTTTACTTTTTTGTGTCAAAGTATAGCATATGTTCTTTCACTATAACGGTTATTGGAAGTATTCATCTCGCCAGTTTATCGAGAGAAATCACATTTTGTATACTATCATTAACCCCATGCACAACTACGTTTTTTCATGAGTTTTTCATATTTGTTCACAAATTAGCTGATTTTTATGGAATTTTCGAATCTTTATCCTGAATTTGATGAATTAACAAAATTATTATCATTATTATTTTTTACCGAAGTATGCGCTGGCAAGGCCCTATCCCCCGAAGCCCCGATACATTCGGGAGGGCACGCCAGCATTATCAACCAATGACCACTCCCCACACCGTAGGGTAAGTGATCATTGGATCCGGGAACCATGTGCCCCGAGTAAGCGCGGTGAGCCTTCTGTATCTGTGGGGCTAAGATTTCTGCCTTACTACGGCAAGCCGGTATGATTTTGAAATTCGAGAGTAGAGAGGACATCATTTCACCAAGGATTCCTATAATCAGAACAACCATCTTGACAGAGTGATCTGGATAGAGTCTGCGGAGTTCGAAGAGAAAATCATGATATTTTATCCGTTTCTCCTCCTCTTTTCTGACGATATTCGTCTCGCCAGGAGCTGAAAACTCCACGACAAATCTCGTTTTGCTCTGGTGGTCGAAAAGGACTACATCAGGCTTATTAGCTTGTATGAGCCTGAGGGTGGGGAACGAATAGTTCCAAAAAATTCGGCACTTCGTTCCCCACAACGGATTCAATATCCCCCTGAGCGTAGGGCAACACCGGTGTCTCGTCAATACCGTAAGAATGCCGTAGATGGTAATATAGCACTCTTAGGGCCACGTTATGTCGATGGATATAGGCCGAGACTGCATATGCTGGACATGTCGATAGCATTAGGGTCTCGGGCGTCTCGCGGCAGGCCCTGCACCTTGTGTCAGGAACCTCTATACCAATCACGCGACTGCGGTAGACTGGGGTGTTGGAGACACCATCCTGGCAAGCCATGATGAACTCCTTAGTTTCCGATTTCAGCCCACTCGACCTGAGAAAAGCAAATGCAGACGCTTTGATGAGCCAAGGTCTCCAATGTTATTGGAGACCGCCTCTGCATGGTCACGGACCATGCAGGGAGGGGGATCTGAACTCCTGACGACTTTACAGGCTGTATCCAGTACCATTATGTCATGTAGACACTCCAAACTCAAAAGTCCACGGCCTCCCTGTTGTCGGGGGAAGTACAACCGTGGAACGGGCGATTTGGGATGCAAACTTCCATAGAGATGCATCATTTTTCGGGTCTTTACGTCGAGTTGATACAGCTCCTCACGAGTCCATTTCACTACTCCAAACGAGTAAAGTAAGATTGGAACGGCAAGCATATTTGTTGCAGCAACTTCGTTCTCCCCGACAGTTCCGATGACCAGATCTGTCCAAGTTTGTGCTGATACTTGCCGCGGAGAGAGTTTTTCACTGCTGTTACCTCATGTGAGTGGCGTTGTTCCACCCCGAGGTGAGTATACGTCTCGCTTATATTGTATAGAGTCCTGCGTTACACATTTATCGATGAGCAGGTTCTCTTTACATCCAGCGACTCCTCTCTTCGGACCTCTCTGCTCATATATTCGTTAGAACACTCGGTCAACTGCGGTGAGTATTCGTGTGAATAATATGCTTGTAAACAACTTATAACATGGAATTCAAGCATGTTGTCGGTCTGTAATACTTAGGAATCGACAAATCTTGGCTTTTGGGGATAAGAACGGTCCGCCCCTCGACAAACCTCGACTGGTCAGATGGCGGTGGGTACTTGGTAGTTTTTTCCACCTTAGTGTTCAACCCATCTGGGCCTGGAGCAGTAAATTTCTTGTAACCAACAAGGGCCCTTCGAACGTCATCCGGGGTTATCAGGTTGCGCAGTTCATTGAGCTCAGGCTGTCGAAGATGTCTGTTGAAAGCTTCGAACTGCGCTAGGGCTGAAGTGTCTGAGTTGAGTGGCTGCGGATGTTCATAGATATGCTTCCAGAATGATTCTACCTGATCCGCGGTCGGCGGATTATCCACAACATGTGGAGGCTCTTGGAATAAGCGAGAAGGTTTCTCGCGGAACCTAATGTTTTCCGCGATATTTTTTGCTTGCCCCACTAGCGACTTATTAGCAGCCACTAGCATTCGTATTGAATCGAGGCAGTGCTGTTTGGTGGTCAGCAGCACACCTTGACTCAAAGTGTGATAGATACGTAGTAGTTTGGCGGCTATTCGCCGCACTGCGGGCGTGAAAGGCCTGCTGGCCGCCCTGTAATCCATCACACATTGGATACGAGACGCGTGTTGTCTTGCCGACGTGATGTTAGCCTCCATCTTGTGTACACGCCGTTCAATCTTCCGAATCGCAAGACCAGGATTTCGCTTATTATTATTATTATTATTTTCACCGTAGTGTGCGCTGGTCAGGCCCTATCCCCCGAAGCCCCGATAGATTCGGGAGGGCGCGCCAGCATTATCAACCAATGACCACGCCCCATACCGTGGGGTAAGTGACCATTGGGGATCATTATTATCATTATTATTATTATATATTGGAATATATTCCAGTTCACAAAAATTGGTGTCGTTCACTAACTAGCTCACTGATATTAACTGAGTATTCGAATATGACTCGATATTTATGTTTGGATAATCTAGACATTTTGGTATTTTGATTCAAATTTGTTGTACATTGTCATATCTACTGGAATTCAGAATCATTCAAAAGCAGTACAAAATAAAATTTCATAACTGAGTATTCAAATGATGATGGTACTTTGGCTCAATGATATGGTCCCCATTTTATGAGAATCACAATCTTACTCTTGAAAGAGTTCAATATAAATTCCTAAGATTTTGTGCTCATAGTATGAGTATACCTGTTATTGTTATTCAAATGATGATGGTACTTTGGCTCAATGATATGGTCCCCATTTTATGACAATCACAATCTTACTCTTGAAAGAGTTCAAAACAAGTTCCTAAGATTTTGTGTTCATAGTATGAGTATACCTGTTATTGACCATGATTATAGCAATATTTTAGAAATCCTTAATCACAATCCATTGAGAAAAAGGAGGGAAAACTTTGATCTAATTTTCATATACAAGTTACTGAATGACTTAATTGTTGCTCCTTAAATTCTAGAAAATATTAATTTCAATGTCCCAAACAGTATTCTAAGGTCCAGCGATTTGTTTCACTTACGGTTTCATTCTACAAATTATGGCTTACATAACCCTATTGTACACTTCGACTAATTAATGAAAGAAAATTGGAAGTAACTGGTATATCTCTCAGCAAATTCAAAAACAATCTCTTAACTGCATGGTAGTATTATGCTATGTATTTTATAATAACTTAAGTTAATGTAATGTAGTAAATTACTTTATTATATAATTGTTAATTTTATTCTCAAATAGGAGGGATCCCGTAAAATAAATAAATAAATAACTATTCAATGATTGGTAGTTACCCAGGAAAGGTGGGCCTTGGGAGATTTTTTGAAACATTCGATGTCAGTAATCAGAATTTGTTGAAAAAAATGTTCTCTGTTCAAGTTTACCCGATGTTTTTTTGTCCAATAGTTCTTTCTGTAAGACGCACACGGGATATTACTATTCCAAATAAAACGTTGTTTTTCTCATACCAGAACAAAAACACCCTCTCTGGATGCGCTGTTTTTAACCAAACCAGCATCAACAGAAGGTGATAGAAACTACATTTTGCAACTTCAAGCTCTTTATATACATCTAAATTACGAATATACACAATATTACATTCTACATATATCTCTGTATCACGCTGTATGCTAATGTACCTTGCATGCCTCCCTCGATCCATCGTTACAACAAAACGTTCAACAAATAGTATTTGAGACATTTCACGATATATATAAATTATAAGACAAAAAACTCAATTCTACTAATATATCACAATTGAATATCAAATACTGAACACTACGTAAGTCATATCTAGATTATTAAAAAATATTCCATTACACAAAAAATCGTTAATGAATCGTTCGTGAAATACAATATGAAATATTTCCACGCAATGGCAATATTCCATAAAGAATAAACAAATTATCTTATAAATAGTTAACTTTGCCCCTGATGTTAAGATAATATGTAATATCTATATGGTCCACACCTGCCTGTGTTTTCCACTTCTACTTGAGTGATGATACTTCAATCTCTATTATATTTCAATACAAATGCATTTATTATAAGTCTATATTATTTCTTTATCTATCTTATCTGTTGACACATTTTGTTTTTTCGACGTCCTCATGTGTCGAATGAGTGCTTCCGTCAGCCACATTACCATAACAGTAGCAACTATAATGTCCAAAACATGTATGGAAAATCTGTAACTGAATTGATCTTTCAGTACACCTGCAAAACATAATGATATGAGATTCACACCTTTTTTAAAGAAGTGGGGGGTTAAACATTGCCTTTGAAAAAATATGATAAATTAGGCCTTTTCGCTCTCTTTCTGTTAATATTCGACACAGTTGAAAATCAAAACCCCCTCCCGTTATCTGCACAAGTATCTTGTAGACTCTTAGGGATTGCTCCCATTCATAATACCTCAGGTATATTCCAGAAACATAAAAAATCATTTCCATAGTCCAAGAAAATCAATTCAATTTATCAAATCATATCTACATGAGTATCTTCCGCAGTAAAAAAATATTTTCGAAGTGTTCATTTGACAGATTAACAGGATTGACTCATTCCAAAGATATGACAAAAATAATATTGGCAATCGACAATATCATTAATTTTGTCAAGTATTTTGATTTGGCGTTCCCCCTTACTTTCCTTACTAATCTATTCCGAAGATTCCGAGATGAAATGATGAATATAAATTCAAAAAAGAATGAGAGTTCCCAAAAATGATTCAAATGGTCATTTCGAAATTGAAGTTATAATGAGAAGAAGTAGATTATATGACACTGAGAATTTCAATCTCAACTATTCACCTCAAGCATTAGTCAACATTTCCCGTAAGATCTGTATTGGCGTCGTTCGAAAACACTATCTTACCGCAAAAATTTTGAATTTATTGTTCAGCATAATGCAGGGGTGGATTTATCTCCAGGCCCCCAAGACCCAGTCAAAATATGGGATTTACCTAATAATAGTAATCAATAACAATTTAAATATTTGGAATGTTTGAATACCCCCAGCAAGTGAGTCTCCTTGAAGTCTCACCCATCTTCGGAATCGAAATACGCGGAGAGTTTGGATGCTGTTATTGCTCGTAATATTTTCAAAGCCGTTTCAGAAAATGGGGGTTTATTCCAACTGTGATTTTTTTTTGTTTATGCATTTATAAAATTCTTGAAGATTTTGTTTCTTGCCAGTGGCTATCGGTTTCTTCTGTTTATCATCCAGGCTAACGTTCTTGAGGGGTTCGTGTTGTCTTTAAATCATTTTCATTGTAGATTAAATAAAAAAAAATAACCTAATATGCTTGTTCGCTGTCAACACGTTTGTTATACTTTCGCTGGCACATATATACACATATATATCAGTTCATTTAGTTTTTACTTACCTAAAGATTGACCGACGGTTCCGGTAAGTACTGCTTTTACCACCATATTCAGGCCGACAGCGGATGGTAATTTGTCTTTGCTGATATATTCCGATATCACAAGATTCTGATTCACAACTGCTATAGCTCGAAAATAGCCCACTATGAAAGAGACTGCAAATATATATTCGAATTGTTCCAGTTCCACCAGACCTAAAACCAACAAATGAATTCATGGAAGGAATACAAATATTGAGGGGTGAAACACATAGAACCAGATCTCAAAAATTGAATCCCAGATTCCTGAGGTGGAACACGAGCAATAGAAAACCACAGGTGGTCGGAATTTAAGTTAGCAAAACCTGCCTAAGAATACCAGTCACTAGAATCATGAATATAGAGAAATAATCAAATCGTTTTCGTTTTTCACTTTTCATACCCACAAAAAAGCATGACTAACATCCGTCAAACGTAGACTGCGGGTGCTGTCCTGTAGTCAGGACTCTACGGCGAGTTCACATTCGTATACCGGTACTCAAATCCCAAACAGCTGTCAAAAATCATTAATATCAGGAAACACTAATAGACTGAAGAAAGACCGAAGAGCTCTTCAGTCTCCTAAATACTCAAGAAATTGTCAGAATCCAGATTTCTGAATTCAAAGTTATCTTTGATAAAAGACAGTTGATGGATATAGCCATTACTACGTGGTAGGAAATCTAAATCTCTGTTCAAATCTATTTTTTCGTTAACCAACTATCGCACCCCTATGAACGACAACCCTCAGAAGTCCAAACTTGTGCGAGCTAAGGATTAAAAATGAAAAATGAAACTTTCTATGTATTTTACTACATTCATTTGTATATAATGTTACTGCAGTTTCATCCTATAAGGACATTTTCGAACTCCTATAATGAACCGTTTTCTTGTATTACTTTGAAAATGTCCTCATAGGACGAAACTGCAGTAATATAAGTCACAAATGAAAGTGGTGAAGAAACAAAGAAAGTTTCATTCCTCCATTTTTCATGCTGCTAACACTGTAGGTAAAATATTTTTTTCGAAACAAAAACAAAAACTCCGATGAATATGCAATCAAACGTCGTTTATAAAATTAAATGCAAGGATTGTGAACAATGTCATGTAGGGCAAACGGGACGTTACTTAAAAAACAGGTTGTCTGAATATGAAGGAAATACAAGGAAGTTGAATGTTGCCAATCCAACAGCCCTTGTTGAACACACAATAGAAAACAACCACAGTTTTGACTTTACAAACCCCAAGATTTTAGATATTCAATCTTTATTAGGTAGTGACATGATCCACATTTTCAAGTATTAACACTAGAAGGGACATAGAAGGACTGAATAATGCTTATTTTAATTTACTAAATCGTATTCTTTAATATTTTAATACAGATACGTTTCCAACATCCTGTGTAATCTGATATCCTTCTATTGTTTATACATTTTTTTAAGGCAAACAAAAACGTCCATTGCTAATCAGTTTGTCTCCCTTGATATCGTTTTCTTTTTTAATGTGTCCGTGGTGTATGTGTTTTCATTTGGTTAGTCCTCATGTTCGTTTGTACCTATGTTGTCTGACATATATGTTTTAAACGTTTTTTTGACATGAATAACTTATGTTTGGTATGTGCACCTGTTTGTTTCTCTTTCACATAATATGAGATTGTATATACTTTATAAATTTTGCAATAT